AAAAGACACACAGAGGAACTGAGAGCACGTCATGAGAAAAAACTATAGGTCATCAAACGACACTTGGAAAATGTGGAGCTTGACTCATGAAAGAGAAACGGTGACGATGCTATGTCACTGGTCATTGTCAAAGATGGAAAGACTGAAGAACGCCCAACACTGGGGGCGATGAGAGAATCAGCATTCTCCCAGCTGCTGGTGGAAGGTGTCCAGGGAAGAAGTGTTCAAATCTGTAGAGAATATTTATCAGTCTATTTGAGCCAAAGTGACTATATATGCCAGAAAACAAGATCTCAAATGCTCCAGAGAATGGCAGTTTTGCAGTGTATTTTATACATTAGAATCAAAGGAGGAGACATAAGAAGGTACATGGAATCCATTGGTGGTAGATTAAGGAGGCAGGTGGGAGAGAGCAAAGCAGGAAAATCCCTGGTTTTGGATGAAAGACAAAATGGAGAAATACACATTTCTTTTCCATTGGCGGGTACAGGTTCGCTAATAATTAACATTTACCGCACACACAGCTGGCATGCAAGGAGCAAGCTAAGAAGGGATGCTGTGGCCTTGTGCTCTGGTGTGGGCGTTGTGCCTTCGAGGGGCCTGGAAAAGGGAATCCCTCTGACATTGGGAAGGTCATCCTAGATGCATGAGAACAGAGTTCACCTGAGGTAAAGACTGACTCGCTAAGGAAGCTGTAGGCCTGGAAGTGATTGGCTGCATGACCTGCCGCGCTAGGAATTTGTGACCAGGCCATCCTGTGAGGCTACTTTGGGTCACAGAGCTTGTCAGGCCTGCCAGGTGCCTCCAGCCCAAGCTTGTCAGGTGTATTGCATAGTCCAGTTTTTGTTCACAAAGGATAAATTGATCCACAAATATATTCACCATCTACACTAATAAAAGAGAAACATGGTAATTGGCGTACGACCGCTACCCTTCCCATTGGCTAATCAGGGAGATATGCAAATTAACTGACAGCCAAGATGGCGGCCGGCAGCCAGGCAGCTTAAAGCGAACATGAGGCTTGCTCCCTTCATTGAAGGAGGAAACCAACGTTCCCCGCCAGCCGCCTGCGCTGCTGGCCTCTGAGCTGGCAGTTTGAAACTTTGTAACACTTTCAGCCGCAGGGATCTCAGAGCTGGAGTTATACATTGTTTCTATTATAGAACCAGCAGCGGAAGCCTCAGAGCTAGAGCCAGAGCTAAAGCTGGCCCAGAATAAAAAAAGAAAAAAGAAAAAAAAGGAGCGGTTGGGAGCTTCAGTCACCCGCAGAGCCTGAAAACAGCCCTCAGCCCCTCACCCAGACTGGCCAGGCACCCCAGTGGGGACCCCCACCCTGAAGGGTGTGTGACCAGCTGCAAACAGCCATCATCCCCTCATCCAGGCTGGCCAGGCACCCCAGTGGGGACCCCCACCCTGAAGGGGGTGTGACCAGCTGCAAACAGCCATCATCCCCTCATCCAGGCTGGCCAGGCACCCCAGTGGGGACCCCCACCCTGAAGGGGGTGTGACCAGCTGCAAACAGCCATCATCCCCTCATCCAGGCTGGCCAGGCACCCCAGTGGGGACCCCCACCCTGAAGGGGGTGTGACCAGCTGCAAACAGCCATCATCCCCTCATCCAGGCTGGCCAGGCACCCCAGTGGGGACCCCCACCCTGAAGGGGGTGTGACCAGCTGCAAACAGCCATCATCCCCTCATCCAGGCTGGCCAGGCACCCCAGTGGGGACCCCCACCCTGAAGGGGGTGTGACCAGCTGCAAACAGCCATCATCCCCTCATCCAGGCTGGCCAGGCACCCCAGTGGGGACCCCCACCCTGAAGGGGGTGTGACCAGCTGCAAACAGCCATCATCCCCTCATCCAGGCTGGCCAGGCACCCCAGTGGGGACCCCCACCCTGAAGGGGGTGTGACCAGCTGCAAACAGCCATCATCCCCTCATCCAGGCTGGCCAGGCACCCCAGTGGGGACCCCCACCCTGAAGGGGGTGTGACCAGCTGCAAACAGCCATCATCCCCTCATCCAGGCTGGCCAGGCACCCCAGTGGGGACCCCCACCCTGAAGGGGGTGTGACCAGCTGCAAACAGCCATCATCCCCTCATCCAGGCTGGCCAGGCACCCCAGTGGGGACCCCCACCCTGAAGGGGGTGTGACCAGCTGCAAACAGCCATCATCCCCTCATCCAGGCTGGCCAGGCACCCCAGTGGGGACCCCCACCCTGAAGGGGGTGTGACCAGCTGCAAACAGCCATCATCCCCTCATCCAGGCTGGCCAGGCACCCCAGTGGGGACCCCCACCCTGAAGGGGGTGTGACCAGCTGCAAACAGCCATCATCCCCTCATCCAGGCTGGCCAGGCACCCCAGTGGGGACCCCCACCCTGAAGGGGGTGTGACCAGCTGCAAACAGCCATCATCCCCTCATCCAGGCTGGCCAGGCACCCCAGTGGGGACCCCCACCCTGAAGGGGGTGTGACCAGCTGCAAACAGCCATCATCCCCTCATCCAGGCTGGCCAGGCACCCCAGTGGGGACCCCCACCCTGAAGGGGGTGTGACCAGCTGCAAACAGCCATCATCCCCTCATCCAGGCTGGCCAGGCACCCCAGTGGGGACCCCCACCCTGAAGGGGGTGTGACCAGCTGCAAACAGCCATCATCCCCTCATCCAGGCTGGCCAGGCACCCCAGTGGGGACCCCCACCCTGAAGGGGGTGTGACCAGCTGCAAACAGCCATCATCCCCTCATCCAGGCTGGCCAGGCACCCCAGTGGGGACCCCCACCCTGAAGGGGGTGTGACCAGCTGCAAACAGCCATCATCCCCTCATCCAGGCTGGCCAGGCACCCCAGTGGGGACCCCCACCCTGAAGGGGGTGTGACCAGCTGCAAACAGCCATCATCCCCTCATCCAGGCTGGCCAGGCACCCCAGTGGGGACCCCCACCCTGAAGGGGGTGTGACCAGCTGCAAACAGCCATCATCCCCTCATCCAGGCTGGCCAGGCACCCCAGTGGGGACCCCCACCCTGAAGGGGGTGTGACCAGCTGCAAACAGCCATCATCCCCTCATCCAGGCTGGCCAGGCACCCCAGTGGGGACCCCCACCCTGAAGGGGGTGTGACCAGCTGCAAACAGCCATCATCCCCTCATCCAGGCTGGCCAGGCACCCCAGTGGGGACCCCCACCCTGAAGGGGGTGTGACCAGCTGCAAACAGCCATCATCCCCTCATCCAGGCTGGCCAGGCACCCCAGTGGGGACCCCCACCCTGAAGGGGGTGTGACCAGCTGCAAACAGCCATCATCCCCTCATCCAGGCTGGCCAGGCACCCCAGTGGGGACCCCCACCCTGAAGGGGGTGTGACCAGCTGCAAACAGCCATCATCCCCTCATCCAGGCTGGCCAGGCACCCCAGTGGGGACCCCCACCCTGAAGGGGGTGTGACCAGCTGCAAACAGCCATCATCCCCTCATCCAGGCTGGCCAGGCACCCCAGTGGGGACCCCCACCCTGAAGGGGGTGTGACCAGCTGCAAACAGCCATCATCCCCTCATCCAGGCTGGCCAGGCACCCCAGTGGGGACCCCCACCCTGAAGGGGGTGTGACCAGCTGCAAACAGCCATCATCCCCTCATCCAGGCTGGCCAGGCACCCCAGTGGGGACCCCCACCCTGAAGGGGGTGTGACCAGCTGCAAACAGCCATCATCCCCTCATCCAGGCTGGCCAGGCACCCCAGTGGGGACCCCCACCCTGAAGGGGCAGTGCCCAACCCCCTGATTGGCCCTGCTCTGTGCGTGACAGGGTACGGAGCCCCAACCCCCCTGATGTCTGTGCGTCTGTGCGTGACAGGGGGTGGTGCTGCAACCTCCCCATCGACCCTGCCTTGAGTGTGACAGGGGGTGGTGCCCCAATCGGCCGTGCACAAATTTTTGTGCACCGGGCCCCTAGTAACATTATAATATTACAAAGTAATGTTATAAAACATAATCTATAAAAACTTTAAACTGTGCAACTGCTATGCAATCATTCAAAATATCATGTAGGGGACATTTCTAATGATGTAAGGAAATATTCATGCTATAAAGATATTTACAAAGGGAGACATAAACAGATGTACTTAATGTAAACTCAACTCTGCAAAACAACGTTCCAGAAGGAAATGTGTTGTTAAAAGTGGTCATTTCTACGCCCTGAGGTTATGGATCAGACTTCCACATTTCTAGTCATCTACCATCAGCAAGTATGTACTTTATTTAAAACGGAAAACAATTCACCTAAAAATGGCAACAATGATTCAGCAGCCTCCCCTTTGCCCTCTGAAGGAAGCACCCGCTTATCATTAAAGGGAATTAAAAGGCTCATAGTTGTGAGAGCGTGATAACTATGATTACATGATTCTTAAAAGCCAAAAAAAACAAACAACAGGGTAGGCTCCTAGGACAGTCGAGGAGAAGGGTGCCATGGGGTTTCCCAACCAAATGTCCGTCGACTGTGAAAGGTTTAGAAAAGGAAGCCAGGATGGGCCTCCAACCTCTCTGTCCACAAGCTCCCGAAGTCTGTCCGTATTTCCAAGAGGAAGCGTGTAGGGCCATCCCAGCACGGTGTTGAGTGTGTGTGAAGTAGAACACGGCCCCTCCCCTCAAGGTGTCTTGTTAAGATAGGTGCATATTAAGATATGTACGTGAAAGGACAGAGTGAGTTCCTCTGTGTGTCAGCACCATGCTGGGGAGAACATGGAAGACAGAGGAAAGTCGTCCCTGGGAGAGATCACAGCATACGTTCTAGCTCTGGGCTGGCTCAGAGTGGCTAGGATAGTCCCGGGAAGCTGGGGGAATTTGTAGGGTTTAGAGCAGCGGTTCTCAACCTGTGGGTCGCGACCCCTTTGGGGGTTGAACGACCCTTTCACAGGGGTCGCCATCGGAAAACACATATATAATTACATATTGTTTTTGTGATTAATCACTATGCTTTAATTATGTTCAATTTGTAACAATGAAATTGGGGGTCACCACAACATGAGGAACTGTATTAAAGGGTCTCGGCATTAGGAAGGTTGAGAACCACTGGTTTAGAGGAACAGAAAACAGGGCGGAACTTTAGGAGTTGGGCAGACGGGAAGGAGGACAGCCTGAGAGACGCTGGATTAAGCAAAGCAAGACTGGAAGACCCAAGGGAGCAGGGCCTCACTAGAGAATTCCAAGTCCAAGTTCTAAGTCAGGCCTGACGGTGGAGACCCAGGCCCCCCCGAGCTGGGACTCAACTCCTCACACATGGAGAGGCCAGAAGAATAAAGGGAACCAGAGACCCTGCACCTTCTCCACACAATCTGGGGCTTCTTAGCTTTTATTTTGTTTCACTCTATTGAAAACTCCAAAAGGTCAGATGCGAGAAAAACAGGAAGTCAGAAACAAAGGGCTGGAGGAGCTGCTGGAAGGCGGCTGACAGTCTCCTCCCGAGAAGTCCCATGATCTTTCTCGAGGGAGCCGTGTTTTCAAGAAGTTTAATGGTGACTTCTTTGGAACCCAAATATAACAGGCTCGATATAGGAGAAATAAGGAGCATTTATACAAAGGCAAGTCCCAGCCTGTTGGTTTCTGGACACGGGAGGCAAGTCAAACCTTACTTCCTGCAGCACAATGACAGAAATCGGGGTTCCAGGCCTAGAAATCTGCTTTCCACCATGAAATGCCCACCGTCACTAAACATGCAGACAGAGGCTTATGCAAGCATGTGTTAAATATGCAAAATATGTCCCGCTGGGAATTTCTCCCCGATGGGCTCTAACTGGCTAAAACTATTATCTCAATCTGATAAAGTATGGACTAAAGACACCATTTTCATTCCTGATAAATCTGTAGCAGGCGCCATAGCTGCAGGACTCTCCCAACCACCTTCAAACGGGGCCTCCAGCTTCTCCGTTTCACCAATTCAGGCCTCCAGAAACGGAGGATCAGTGGCTGCAGGGGCAGCTCCCCGGGCTCCACTGAGCTGGCCCTCACCCCCAGCTCAGAGCTCCTGGCCCAGCTCGCAGATGCCATGGGCAGAAGACCGTGGTCAGGTGGTGGCAGCATGGAGGCGAGCCTTCCCTGTGTGATTAGGTTTAGGTTCCCGTCCTAACAGGCACCTGCCTCACCCCCAGGCAATATCCCTGAGTCTCTGCCTGGGAGTCACTGATAAATCTTTATTCTCATTATTTGCATTCACTCAGGTCCTTTGAATGGAGCCACCTGCCAGACTGCATGTTTGTGCCCTCCCCGCCCCCATATGTTGAAACCTGATCTCCATCGTGATACTAGGTGGAGCCTTAGGGAGATGATTAGGTCATGAGGGTGGAGCCCTCAGGAACGGGATTGTTATAAAAAGGCCCCAGAGAGCTAGCTCCCTTGCCCTTCACTGAGGACACAGGTGTCATCGCTGAACCAGGAAGTGGGCTGCACCAGACTCGGAGTCTGCAGGCACCTGTGCTTGGACATCCAGCCTCCAGAACTGTGAGGAATAAGTTTCTATGGCATTTCTGTTACAGCAGTCGTAGGGACTAAGACGCCGCCTCCCCCTCTGCCTGTCCCACATCCTGTCCCTTCAGACTGTTCTTTTCCACTTGCTCCTTCAGCTCTTGCAGAGCAGGTGTGGGGTGTGGTCAGGACCCTCCAGTCCACTTAGTAGAGGGACTACTGCCAAGGGTCCCTTCAGAAGTTCATCTCCAGGCCTGTGTCTCGGGGCCTCTCCCCAGGGCCACCAATGGCCACCACTCACTCCACTGCTGAATGCCACTTGGCTCTCCTGGCTGGGGGACCGACAGGATTCTGGCTTCAGCATCCTGTCTCGTCTGGCGTCCAGCACTGGTTCCTGGGCACTTCACTGTGTGAAGGGCTGTTTTGTCCCGTATTGGAAAAATTATATACAGAGGGCAGACTATTTTAGATGCCGATTGGGAAAAGTTCTACTGATTTAAAATGTAGTGAAAGGATTTTTTCAAAAATGGTGGGGAGGGTTAGGCAAGTTTTTTGTAGGTCAGTTTGGCAATATGCAATAAAATCACTAAAAAGGATTCTCCCCTTGACACAATAATTGCACTGTTACATAGTTAGCACTTACCTTGACTATCAATTATAAAGGTGAAAAATGAAAACTATTTGTCCAATAATAGTGTAATGGGTAAATCTGTGACATGAACTACCATACAGCCATTGACTATGTTTTTGAAGAATATTAAACAGCTTTGAAAAGTGTGTCTAATATTCAGTAAGAAAAGCATTATGCTTAATGGTATGATTATTTACAAATACTGAATATTGGTTAACAGTGGTTCTACCGTATGCGGTGGGAAAAAGGTTGTTTTTATATATTTCCCTTTTAAATATTTTTCAAGATTTCAAATAAATAATCAATGTATATTAGTGTTGTCAGGAAAAAAAATACTGTAGTTGTTCTAAAATGATGTGATTTCCTCCCCAGGCGGCATCTCGTCTTAGCCCAGGAACGTGTTGCCGGAGCAGGCAGGGACTCTGGTGGCCCTCACCCGCTCAGCCAGGAGCAGCAGAGCCTCGAGAACACCAGCGCCGGCCCCAGCCCCGGTTCTGAGGTAACTGGCTTGCGGCCCAGTGACGGTCATCCTTACAGCTCCCTTCTGGTCCTAGGGGTCGCCAGGACCCTCAGCTTCTGCCTCTTCCTTCAAGCCCCAGTAACAGCCTTGCCCCTCGCCCTGGGCAAGGGGTCTGAGAAACCTCACAGTGTCTTCAGCGGCTTGTGGTGTGCACGCTGCATGTCTGAGGCACGCAGAGCTGCCTGGAGAGCCTGTCCTGGCGACAAGTCACCTCACATTCCTTGGAGGCGGTGGAGTGGGAGAGGGTGGGAGTTTGCCACAGGTTTTTATGGAATTCCAGAAGGGAGAGCATGAGCTTGTGAAGAAACTGGGAGAAAGGGAGAGCTGGACACTCACTGATGTGACTTCCCTCAGGTTCCCAGGAGGGTGGCCCTGCCAAGAACAAAAGATGAGCCTCCCCAGACCCAGGCGGGGCGACCAGCTGCTGTTCCTGGGCATCATGGTCCTCGTGGTCCTGGCCATCTTCCTGCTGTTCTACGCTCTCCTCTGGAAGGCGGGCGACCTCATCAACCTGCCCAACCTGAGAATCGGCTTCTACAACTTCTGCCTGTGGAACGAGAGCACGGGCTGCCTGCAGTGCCACCAGTTCCCTGAGCTGGAAGCCCTGGGGCTGCCTCAGGGCGCCCTGGCCCTGGCCAGGCTCGGCGTGTACGGGGCCCTGGTGCTCACCCTCTTTGTCCCGCTGCCTCTGCTCCTGGCCCGCTGCAACAGGAGCGAGGGCGAGTGGCATCTGGCTGTGTGCTTCCTGGCGATGGCCTCCATGCTGCTGGCCGGGGGCCTGGGCCTCTTCCTCACCTACACCTGGAAGTGGGTCACGCCCTCCCTCCTGGGGCCTGGATTCCTAGCTCTGGCCGCTGCCCAGGCCTTGCTGGTCCTCTTGCTGATGACCACAGTCATGCTCCCCCAAAGGGCAGATGACAAGAGCAAGCTGGAGAGCTGCTAGCCCTGTCCAGAGGCTCCCAGGCTGCTTGAAGGAGGCTCAGACAGGCGCCAGAGGCCTCGTGGGCTGGTGTTTTCGCAGCCACCCTGCTTCATAGCTAATACTGATCTCAAGCTTGAGCAGATGGGCCCCACTGAGGAGGGGGCACCGGCATAAAGGAGGCCGGGGCTGTGAGGGTGACTGGGCCCTGGGCTTCTTAGTGTTGGCTTGTCTGTCCTTTGGGACTGCTAACACCACGTAGCTCCTTGTCACGAGAATTCCTGCTTTCATTGACTGATCTGAGCAAACCATTCTTCATTCTCAGGATGGTGGCCAGAGAAGGGTTCCTGTCCCAGGGCCAGATTTCCAGGATGATTGGCCAAAGGCCAAACTGAGACGCAGGCAAGGTTCATGGCGACAAACGGGGAACACTTAGAGCACCTCAGTGTCCCCGGGGCCCTGGTTAGCAAGCTTCCCCCTTTCTCACCCCTCCCCATGACACCACTCCCAAAGGCACAGGGGAGATCTCAGAGGGAGTCCCTCAAGTTCCCCTGGGCTGCTGGACTCCAAGCCGGACAGCAGGGGAGTGAGGTAGCACGCCATTCCTAACATGGGACCTGGGCGTCCGAGAGCACAGCATGCCGAATCCTGGGGGCGGGGAGGGTGAACAGGACTGAATGGTTCCACAAACGCTGCGTCCCTTCACTGCTCAAGCTAGACCTAAAAAGGATACAAGCACCACTTGTGCGGGGGGAATTTACTTTTCAGCACTGTATACTGAAAAACTGTATAACCATGGTTGCCTCACTCTGCCTGCCAAAAGCCACACTGACTACAGAGGCAATGTGGACTCGGCCCTGACCTCTTGTCCTTAGCGTCCACTTTGGGAGCCTGTCCCACTCACACTTTCAGAGTGGCCAGGGATCAAAGCCAAGGCTGCCAAGTATAAGGAAGGGGACAGCTCGGGAGAGGAGGCCTGTCTGATGGGTAGAAGGCTTGGACCAAAGGTACCCCGGGAGCGCTAAGCTCCCAGACAGAGCAGAGCACTGTGGGCAAAATGTCTTCAGGGCTAAGAGGGCGGCTCAGGGATTGCCTGGCTGCCTGTGAGGGAAACTAAATTGGGCTTCCTCCTCACGGAGAGATGGTGCTGCCTAAACTGGACAATTCTGGTGTATTTAGCAGCCATACTTTTTTCTGTTTGAAAGTTATTAAATTGATTCTTTGGTGCCAATAAGTCTGACACTGTGACCTTATTTTCCCTGGAACGTGGTCACTGAATACACAGACATGGGGATTGCAGACCCCTGTGCCGGGGGAGGACAATGCAGAGAGGAATTCTGATGGCAGTTCATTCAGATCCCTCACTTCCCAAGGCCGAGTGTCAGGGCTTCTGGCTCCACCCAATGGTATGGAGCTGGGAGCAGTCCCCAGGCAGAGCCAAAGCCCAGCGTCCGGTAGCTGTTCCGGCCGTAGCGTCCTGGGAACCTGTCCCTTAGCTGAAGAATATCTCCCTGACGTACTTGAACGCATCCTCATCTTCCTCAGGGCTGCTGCTGCAGGCAGGCTCCAAGCCTGCAGACCCCTGCGGCCGCCCCAGGCCTGGGGGGAGGGCGGCTTCCCCACTGTCCTCACCCTCACTTCTCTCGGGAGAAGCCGGCCCCTCCGAGCAGGTGGGGGACAGCTCTGGCTCAGCAGTGTCTGCCAGGGGCCGCTGCTCCAAGGCCTTTTCCTGTTGTCGGTTCTGTGAAGAAAGACCAGACGAAACATGTGTAAATTTATTTCCCTAACCTGTCAGTGGTGGAGACCATGTCCAGAAGCAACTGGGGAGCCAGCATTGACCAGGTCGGGCATGGCTCCCAAATCAGTGGCCGCTCCACCTCCGTCACCCCACTGCTGCCCACCCTCCACCTCTCAGAGCTCTGGGAGAAACCAAGACCAACTCGGAGAGAAGTGGGCAGAGGCCTGAGGAATACCAAAGTAGAAAAAATAAATACATCGAAAAAACTTGTCTGGGAAGGCAGGTGACAATGGCAGGAGCACAGGATATAAAACGAGTGTGGGCCTACACTCGGTCACTTACAGGCTATGCAACTTAGGGAATGTCCCTGCCTCTCAATTTCTTCATCTGTAAAACGGGAATAACAGTATCTGAAATAACATATCACCAGATTATCGCAAAGATTACATGAGATAGTGATATATAAAAATACCTGGTCAGCCCTAGCCGGTTGCTCAATGGTCAGACCATTGGCCCACAGACTGAAGGGTCTCGGATGTGAGTCCAGTCAAGGGCACGTACTGAGGTTGCAGGCTCGATTCTGGCCCTGGTCAGGGCATATGGAAGAGGCCAATCACTGTGTCTCTCTCACATTGATGTTTCTCTCTCTGTCCCTCCCCCTCTTCCACTCTCTCTAAAATCAATGGGGTGAAATATCCTCGAGTGAGGATTAACAAAAAAATTAAAATGCCTGGTCTATCATACAGACCCACCCAACTCTACGGTGGTATGATTATTAGCTTCAGGAAGACAGGGGACCTCAGTGTTGTTCTGCCAGGTGCAGAGGCCAGGAGTCAGCTTGCCCACTTGAGAAAACTAGCAGGTCAAGACTTCCTGTTCCCTCTGCTTCACCCCACACAGTCACCCACACAGGGCTGCTCTCCCTGCCCAGCCACCCCTCCCCAGGCATCCGGCCCCAAACGCGTGGCTGGTGCACAGCTCACAGCGGGGAGCACGGCCTGAGAGATTCATGAGACAAGGGGCAAGTGGAAGGAGGGCGGACACGCAAGAGGGCTCCCCACGGCTGTTTCAGTCAGTAAAGAGTTTGTGGTTAAAAGAGCAAGAACAGCCAACGGTTGTGGCTCAGTTGGTTGAGTTTCATCCCATGCACTGAAAGGGCTGGTTTGATTCCCCGTCAGGGGACATGCCCGGGTTGTGGGCTCAGTTCCCAATAGGGGGTGTACAGGAGGCAGCCGATTAATGTTTCTCATCAATGTTTCTATCTCTCCCTCTTCCCTCCTCTCTCTGAAATAAAAACATATTTGTTTAAAAAGACACAGCTGACTTTACCTCAATCAGGACTCCCAGAGCAACATCGACAAGTTCGGCTTCACTCATGCAGTACACAGTCCTCACTGCGGGGAGTCTGAAAGAAAGGCACGATGCTACAGATGGGGCAGACGGCTCCCCGGTCTCTCAAGGAGGAAGCAGAGCTGCATCCCTGGGCCTTCCGCCGGGGATGAGAGCACCAGCTTCCTCAGGGCATCAACCGGCTTCCTCATTCTTGGGACCAGTGACTGGCAGAGGGGGGTCTTGGAGGCAACAGTGGGGCCTTCCCAACTCTGCCAACGCCCCCAGGGATTTACAAATAAGGCTCGATGGCTACTCCTGAGAGCCAAACGGACACACACATACCTGTGAGCTGGTCACACGGACCACCAGGCCAAGACCCACCTGACACCTAACTGAACGCATGAACACAGTACGGAAAGGCTGTGCAGTCAGAGAGGGACGCTGGTCAGCTAAGGAACCTTATAAAAGGAAGGGCAGAGGGGCAGCACTGAGCACCCGGGACCCCGTCAGGAGAGTTCAGGGACCTCTCCTCCCTGGCGGCCTCACGACCCCACAGTTGGCATCATCCCACTGGCTCACCCACAGCCTCTGATCCGGGCTGACACAGGGGCTTGCTGCTCCTGTCCCAGGAGATCTGCCCACAGGGAGGCTGATGGCCTGGCCCACTCATCTTGCCCGCCTGATGGTCACACTTATTGTTGCAAATGAAGAGAAGGGCATTTTAGTCACAGGGTGTTTGACAGCTTGGCTGATGCGTGTGACCCGAGAAGGGGGCCACTATCTGGGAGTTGCAGGTTCACCAAGAGGCAGAGGCGTCTGCCTGGGTGGACACAGCTCACTCAGCCTCCTGCACGCAGCCCGTGCACCTCCTAAGAGCTGGAGACGGACTGAAACCCCGCCCACCTCACGGGTCTGCCAACACTGCGATGACCCAGGCTCCAAGGTGTCCCACCTGGCTGCAGCCGCCGGCACCGCGGCCATCCTCCTCCTCTTCCTCTTCGGGGTCTTCACCGGCCACATTCTCTCCTCAGGCCCCTGGGCTGTCATCCAGGAGGGAAGGACCCTCTTCTTATCCCCAGAATGTAAGGCTGCCATCCCTCTCGTAGCTGATGAAGAGTCAGGGCCCTCCCTTACGGACTCGCTTTTCTGATCCAGGACAGCAAATCCCACCTTCTCATCACACCAGGAATTAACTGTAGGCCTGTTTGTCCTCGAATGGGAGTCCAGCTTTGATTCCTACAAAGAACAAAGCCCAGTGAATTCTAATATGCTCACAGGCGACCCGGATGGTGAGCAGGGCCCAAGACTCAGGCCACTCACAGGGCAGCCAGGGAGGTGTGGGGGCAGGCTGCTGGGAGGGCCTCCCGCCCTGGGTCCCCACACCCCACACAAGCAGGCCCAACAGAAATGCCCCCGGCAGCCTCGGCTCTGAGCCAATGAACATGAAGAGGGATGAACAGCCTCCCAGCACAACATTAGTAACAGAGAAACAGAATTTCCGCAGGATGAGGCCCAGAAATCAGGATTTTAAAAAGATTCCCAGGTGATTCTAATGTGCAGCCAAGGCTGAGAACCACTGTCCTAACCCGTGCGGTGCCGGGAGGGCAGCCCTTTGCCAGGGACTCATTTCTGTCAAAATTCGGGCCGGGATGGGTCACTCCCCGCCGTGGGCACCGCCAGCCGCCAGGCCCTCTGCCCGCGGCAGAGGGTAGTGAGCCCGTTTCTCAGACGGGAACTGAGCCCAGCAGGTTCCGCCAGGTCACACGAAACCTGGAAACCGCACCGGGATTCACAGCCAAGTCCTGCGGCTCCGGGCCCCGCGCACAGGTCTGCCAACACTGCGATGACCCAGGCTCCAAGGTGTCCCACCTGGCTGCAGCCGCCGGCACCGCGGCCATCCTCCTCCTCTTCCTCTTCGGGGTCTTCATCGGCCACATTCTCTCCTCAGGCCCCTGGGCTGTCATCCAGGAGGGAAGGACCCTCTTCTTATCCCCAGAATGTAAGGCTGCCATCCCTCTCGTAGCTGATGAAGAGTCAGGGCCCTCCCTTACGGACTCGCTTTTCTGATCCAGGACAGCAAATCCCACCTTCTCATCACACCAGGAATTAACTGTAGGCCTGTTTGTCCTCGAATGGGAGTCCAGCTTTGATTCCTACAAAGAACAAAGCCCAGTGAATTCTAATATGCTCACAGGCGACCCGGATGGTGAGCAGGGCCCAAGACTCAGGCCACTCACAGGGCAGCCAGGGAGGTGTGGGGGCAGGCTGCTGGGAGGGCCTCCCGCCCCCGGTCACCACACCCCACACAAGCAGGCCCAACAGAAATGCCCCCGGCAGCCTCGGCTCTGAGCCAATGAACATGAAGAGGGATGAACAGCCTCCCAGGAGGAAGGAAGAAAGGAGGTGCCCCCACTCCATGCCGTCCCAGGTGCCCAGTCTATCCTACCCCTAAAGTATCTCCCAATGACCTCTCTGGGCTTCTCACTCCCTCCATCTTGGGGTGCTGACAAGAAACCCTGAGGCCATTTGACTCACAATAAGGTTTCCTTGGCCAACAACCCCTCCCTCCATCCGAAGATTCTTCTGACCGTGTAACCAGCGGGGCTCAGGGACGACAGCGCCGGCCTCGGAGGGAGGTCCCGAAGGGCCACCAGCCCTCCGCTCCCTCGGCCTCCGCTGCCTCCGAGACTCGATTCCACCGCAGCCCCCAGGCCCCCATCCCACCCCCCAACTCCCGGTGACCCCAA